TCCCCTTGCTGCCCCACCAGCTCTGGGACACAGAAAAGGCGCCTCAAGCCCCTCCAGCCTTAGACGCACGCTCTGTGGAGCTCACTGTCACCAGTTTGTTTGAACAGTATTAGGGCCGAGGACAGGGCCTCAATGCCAGCAATGTCCCTGGGTCATTTAGGAATAGCTGGGTAAACCCTCCCCCAGGTTCCTGCGAGCTCCCAAGGGGCAAGATGACTTCTTCCTCCAAACTTAAGAATCCAGGGAAGGCTCTACCTGTTCCTACTGTGCCTTTTGGCTGGCAAGAATGAAACCGTAAGCTTAGTTCCTCAAGGAAACTCTAACCTCCCTCTGGTCACAAAGCAAGTGACCAAAATCTATAGGGGACAATGTCTTTGTCCTTGAGCCCTGAACTTTCCAGGACCCAGGAGAGGATATGGAGGTGAGGCTGTTTTAGGACATCCCCAGAGCTCTGAGGCTCCAAAGACACAGGTGATCATGAGGAGCTAGCTCTATAAACTCTGACAGCACCAGGACGCATCCACAGCTTCCGTCCCCAGTGTCATGTTCTGTTTGCCTGAGCTGTGTGCCTCTCTGACGGGTCTGGATGAGTGGACAACCCAGAAACAGCTTTAGGGACGAGAATCTGAAAGACACAGTCTAAAGTAAAAGCGAGTCCCAGAATCCCCCTCGAGGCTGGTTGAGAGGATCTCGCGTCCCCTCTGCAGGAGACTCAGGCCGGGCAGCGTCATCTGCTAAGGTTGGTATCTGCCTGTGAGAAAGCCCAGGGGAGCGGATTCACAAAGCGAGGTTGTCTGTTCTCTTCTCTTTCCTCTCCCCCCATATTTGCGCCCTCCTCATCTCCGCCTCTGTCAGCCTCCAAGCATTTCCTGAGATCCCACCGCCTTCAGGGATCCTGAGCGATCTCTTCCAGCTCCCCGCCCATTCCGCGTTTGCGATCTAGCTTGCGGTGGGATCAAAGTCAACGTGTATAGTAGTTTCCCCCATATCCGTGGTTTCTCTTTTCATGATTTTAATTACCTGTGGGAAATCATAGTCCAAAAATGGAAATTTCCAGAAATAAACAGTTCATAAGTTTTAAATTGAACGCTGTTCTGAGCAGTGTGATGAAATCTCAAGACATCCCTCTCCATCCAGCCCGGGACGTGAATCATCCCTTTGTCCAGTGTCTCTGCATTGTAGACGTTCTTCGTCTGTTTGTCACGTAGTAGCCAGCTAGGTTATCAGATCGACTGCCACTGTATCACAGTGCTTGTGTTCAAGTCACCCTTATTTTACTTAATCATGGCCCCACAGCACAAGAGCAGAAATGCTGGCAATTTGGATATGCCAAAGAGAAGCCATAAAGTGCTTCCTTTAAGTGGAACAGTAAAAGTTCTCAACTTAATAAGGAAAGAAAAAAATTGTATGCTGAGGTTTTTAAGATCTATAGTAAAAAGGAATCTTCTACTCATGAAATTGCCTAATTTATAAGTTAAACTTTATCATAAGTATGTATGTATAGGAAAAAACATATATATAAAGTTCAGTGCTATCCACGGTTTCCAGCGTCCACTGGGGGTCTTGGAGCGTACGCCCCGTGGACATGGCGGAACTACCCTCTTTCAGAAGTATGCTAAGTACTTTGACAGAGAGTGTCTTTCAGCCTTTATAGAAACTGAGCAAAATAAGGCTCAAAGAGGTTGAGTACCTCTACCAGGTGTCTGACTCTCCAGTGCACCTTTTGCCTAGTAAATAAATGTTGATCGAGATTAATTCCCACTTCAGGTTGACGCACTTCTCCATCTCCTCCACTAAGCCCATCTTCCTCATTCTTCAAGGCCCAGCCCTGTGCCTCCTCCCTCTGAAGCCTTCCCAGATGACTGATGGATTCCGATTGCAAAGCAGGCACCACCCAAATTCACTCTTGTTTCATGGAAGCAATTTTGTCTCTCAACAAAATTTCAGTATCCTAAATGGCCAAAGCCATGTCTTCTCACACTATCATGAAAGCAGTTGTTTCAATACTTTGAACAACTGTAATTATTTAAATACTTTTGAACAACTGTAGTTGTTCAAATAATTTTGGATAACAGTAGTTGTTCAAATATTTCCTGTTGATTTGATCCAAAACTTAGAACAGCCTCTGCTTTGAGAAGTCATAATGTGATAGTGAAGCAAAACAAACCACTGGGGGGAAAGAAAGACTTAGAAACATTAACAAAGCCCTGTTAAACAATTCTAAATACATCTCTGTGAGTAAACTCAACTTCCACCAAAAAGAGAATTCAGTGGGGTAAGGGAAGACTGACTAGAAGGGCTGAGGGACGGCTTCGCAGGAGTTACGGAGGAAACCCAGAGGCGCTTTGCAAACTGAGAACTTCAAAGTACCTCTGTAAGGCTGTTGGTCAAGGTCACCACAATTGAGAATTTTGAGAGATGAGCCTCTGAAGGAATCAAATGGCCAGCTGGGAGATGGAACGGGAGTGGTAGAGGGTGAGGAGAGAATGCAATCTGGACCATGGGCAGATGGTGAGAGACGGGGAGATGGGGAGGAGGACAAGAAACCTCATTTACTGGAGAACAGGATCCAGGAGCTCAGCCGAAATACGATGCTAAGAGTGACGTGTGTGTGTGTGTGTGTGTGTGTCTGTCTGTCTGTCTGTCTCGGGAATTGAGCTGTCATTCTATCAGAGAAAAAGGAAAACGTTAATATTCATTGTAAGTCAGAGACTCCTAAACCCCTAAGAAAATCAGAAAAGGAAGAGTAAACATCAAAAACACACAAGGCACCTGGTTGGAGAATCTGGAGTGTAGGCAGGACCTTTGCTGGGTCAAGCTTCAAGACTGAATCATGTGATAGGATTCTTCCTGCCACACCGCCAAGACCCTGACTTCTGGGGTTGCATATTCTGACCTTTACAATAAACAGAAGGTCGTTTTGTAAAGGGCATGGGGTGTTCCAATGAATTCTACAGTCACACAGTCACAAGCCCGGCTCTGGAAGGAAGGAGAGGCAGCAGGGCAGATGGCAGGATCCTGAAAGTGACTAGTTCTTCCAAGGCCACGGGCTTCAAACTGGGGTTGTGAACCCCTGAGGGTAAGTAAAGAGTTTTCTAGGGGTTCATAGGCAAAATAGATTTAAAGGAAGCAATTTCCAGAACCTCAGTGTCTACTGAGCAATATCCCTGAGAATGCATCTGTAATGGGGGTTCGGTACCCCTTTATCATCCTCCCTTTCACAATTGCCCTTCTCTCACTTTTGAAAAGAAATGCATACTTCTAACTCATCCTGACTGAGTTAGTATAAGTTATTTCACCAGCATATGAAACTTCCAGGCTGCCACACAAAGAGATAATTTCATAGATAGGTGTTGAAAAGGTAAATGACTTTAATGACTGCCTATAAATATTTCTAAGCCAGTGCGATCTTTAAATAAAATGAAGTTCTCAGAACTTCCTACTTCACAAACAAGATATTTGAGTGGCAATGCTATTCATATAGATTGTCATGAGCTGGACAGACCCTCCAAAAATTATCGGTTACAATTAGGTATAGCGTTTCCTTTGACTAGACTAATTCACGTGGATTCTTTTTTTGTATTGCCTGGGGCTACACTGACACAAAGATCCATACTCAGGCAGGAAGTTTGGGGAAGATGCACTGGCTCACTGTCAGAGTGTCAGGATGAGACATGACCTCAGGGACCATCCACGTCAAACTGACTTTGCCAATGGGCAATCAAGCCCAGAGAGAGAACTGACCAAGGTAACAAAGCTCATTTTAGACAACGGAGCCAGATCTAGAAAGCAGGTCTCCATCCTGTCAGTCCGCTGGCTCTTTCTGCCACACCCTGTAACTGTCACAACAAGTGGGGACAGAGCTGTTCTATGTTCTTCTGCAAACTGACACCACATTTCCTCCTTGTCCTCTACAGAAACTGCTTGACATGGATGAAAAGGTTGGTGAGGTTTTCCTAAGACTGATTTTCAGGATGTAGCTCAGACCTTCAAAGAGAAGGGAAATGAAGGTCCAGAAGACAAAGAGAGCTGTGGGGAGGAAGAAAAGGGATCTGGGCATTTCCCGTCCTCCTATGAGTGAACATCTTGGGGGGACAGTCAAGCGAGCACTAAAACACTATTTCTAAGATGACGGTCTCCCAGGTGACAGTCAACTCAATGGAGTCTCAGAGGACAAAATAGTTACAATATAGAGGAGGGGGCACCCTAAAAGATGTTTAAATATAAGACAGAACGAATCCCCATACATACTACAACATGGATGAGCCTCAGCATTAAGTAAAAGAAACCAGACACAAAGGGCCACGTATTGTATGAACCTATTTATATGAAATGTCCAGAATAGGCAAATCCATAGGTGGAAAGTAGATTAATGGTTTCCAGGGGTTAGAGGAGAGTGGGGTGTGACTACTAACGGGTATGGGGTTTTCTTTTTTGGAGGTGGTGAAAATATTCTGCAATAAATATTGGGATGGTGCACAACCCTGTGAATATACCAACAACCACTACATTTTATATTTAAAAAGGGTAAATTTTATGATATATGAGTTATACCTTGATTTTAAAAAGACAGAATAAACTGTTAAACAGAATCATAAGCATATTTATTAATATGGGGGCAAAAGATTGGGGAAGAGGCCTCCCATTTGTTGGTCGCCTACTGTGTCCCAGACATTCAGATATTTTACGTTCATTTTTTCATTTAGGCCACACGGCAACCCTGAGAAAGAGGCGTACTTTCTTCATTTCATAGATGAGAAAACTAAAGCTCATAGATATAGCTTATCCGAGGACACACAACCAATTAGTGCCATAGTCAGATTTAAGACTCGGGTCTCTCTGGCGTCACAGTCCATGTCCTACCCACTCTGGCATGAGACTTCCGTTAGCTTCTTAGAAGAAGCCTTATACTTGCTTGGTGTTGTCCTTCACTGTACCTTGTACAGCAGTGGGCATGCTCAGGTAACACTCTGAGTGACGATCAATTGTAACCTCTGCAGATGACACCTGGAGAACTAGCTCTTGCCAGTGGCAACCACACCCCAGTTACCCAGTTCGTCTTGCTGGGATTCTCCAATGATCCAGACTTCCAGGAGCTTCTTTTTGGAGGCTTCTTGCTCATCTATGCCATGACAGTGGTGGGCAACCTGGGAATGGTGATGCTCATCTTCACAGATTCTCGTCTCCACAGCCCCATGTATTTCTTCCTCAGCGTCCTCTCGTTTCTTGATATTTGTTACTCTTCTGTGATCACGCCCAAGCTGTTGGTCAACTTTTTGGCCTCTGACAAGTCCATCTCTTTCAAAGGCTGCGTGGTCCAGCTGACCTTCTTCGTGATGCACGTGACAACCGAGAGCTTCCTCCTGGCCTCTATGGCCTACGATCGTTTCATGGCCATCTGCCGACCCCTCCATTATGGTTCTCTCATGACCAAGAGGACCTGTCTCCAGCTGGTGACTGCTTCCTATGCGTTCGGTTGCGTTAACTCCGCTATCCAAACTGGGAATGTCTTTGCCCTGCCTTTCTGTGGGCCCAACCAGGTAACACACTACTTCTGTGACATCTTACCCCTCCTCTGGCTGGCTTGTGCCAACACAGCCACCACGAGAATGGTCCTCTACATCTTCTCCGCTCTAGTTACCCTTCTGCCTGCTGCAGTCATCCTCACCTCCTACGGCTTGGTTTTGGTGGTCATTGGGAGGATGCGCTCACCGGCTGGGAGGGAGAAGGCTCTCTCCACGTGTGCCTCCCACTTCCTGGCCATTGCCATCTTCTATGGCACTGTGGTTTTCACTTATGTTCAGCCTCATCGATCCACCAATGATACCAGTGACCAAATAGTGTCCGTCTTCTACACCATCATAATCCCCATGCTCAACCCCTTCATCTATAGCCTCCGGAACAAGGAGGTAAGTGACGCCCTGCAGAGGAGGCTCCAGGTCAACATCTTACCTTGCTGAGCCCTGCGATGATGTTTGTCAGAACGACGAAGGCACAGCATCTTCCAAATCTCATCATGAGTCGACCGGACTGAGAGCAGCCCTCGGTTTTGAAGGAGGTGGAAGAAGTAAGGAAGAAACAGCAAATACCAGACTCTGTACAGAGCACCGCGGTTTTTAAAGCATCTTTTTATCCTTTCTCGTATCAGATCTTTGCCACCATATTGCGAGGCAGCCATTGTTATGACGATCTCATTTTACAAATGAAGGATACGTAACTTGGCAAAGATAATTACCTGAAGTCGTACAGTTAGTGAGAGAATGTGTATTCATCAGGACTTGCACATCAAAACCAGGGATATTTCATTATACCACGGCCACAAGTTATGTCTTTTATTGGCAGCTCATTTTAACTTCTAAGAAACATCAGACAAGGGGCAGCACAATCATTTCTGATTCGCCGCTGACTTATTGAAGTGGGGGTAGGCGACAGGTGGCTGTTTTTAATTCCTGTTCCAAAAAAAGAAAGATGACCAGGATATAACTGTCCTTATTTCTTATTACTGCTGTATTTTGCTGAGCTGTTTCATTAAATAAAACCTCAGGATCAAGAGAAATCTTGCCTCACACATCTGTTTTCTAGCCAGATGTATGTACATGTCTCATAATTCTCAGGGGTGGGTGTGTGTGTGTGTGTGTGTGTGTGTGTGTGATATTTGGCCAGTTACAGCATTATATAAGACACTGTGCTTTAGGAGACTGATTCAAAAAATATATATTTGGCCTGAACATCTTTAAATATACATGTGATATGGTGAGTATGTGTATTTTAGAGAATCATACAAATGAAGAAGCTGACCTTGACCTAATTCGGGGTTGAACACTGTCCTGGAAGTCGTGCTCTCAAATTAATGCAAAGTCCTAACCTGAATGAACTGAGTCAGGTTCAGCCGAGATTTTTGGATCATTAAAAAGACTTTTTTTCAGCTCTATCTTAAAGAAATTTAGTTCTAAATATAGAAAATCTGACCACACAAACAGGTTTATCACAGCATCATTCTTGAAAACAAAAAATTAAAAACAACCTAAAGATTCAAAAGTGGAAAAGGATTAACTGGTTTATCCCCTAGATGGATTATGAGGTAAGCACTAAAAATGATCCTTATGAATAACATGGGAAACAGCAGGCCAGAACTTCTAGAGTGCGATTGCAACAGTGTAACAAAATGAGTGGCAAAAAGCCTGGGAAGAACCACAGAAATGTAAACAATGGTTTTATTAGAGTAGTAGCACCATGGGAAAATGTTTTTCTATTTTTCTAAAAAATTTTTCAAAACTTTTCTAATGAGCGTGTTTAATTTTGATATTTTATTCTAAAAACAAATAATTAAAGAAATCCTTTCCAGGAAGCTGAGTGTGAAAATTTCTCCCTTTTGTCTTTTTTTCATTAAGCCAATATTTACTAAATTCCTCCTATGCTCCGCATTTTTTAACGTATAAACTAAGTTTTGAGTACCTGCCTGAAGTTGAGGTCAGGACTGGAACATTACAGTGAAGAGACTTGGTAAAAATTAATCTAATTCACTCACCCATAAAATGTTTATGAGGCAATTAGGTGTAACACATTGTGGTAGGCCCTACCTGGATTAATACTCAGAACATGGTTACAAAAAAACAAAAAGAACATTTGTTAATCAGATCAGTAACAAATAAACCCAATAATGTCAGTAAATTAGCACCACAAAGGCTTCAAAGGTTTTCAACTCAACATCAAAAAAACAAATAATCCAATTAAAAAATGGGTAGAAAACCTGAACAGATACTTCTTCAAAGAGGAGACACAGATGGCTAATAGACATATGAAAAGATGCTCAAGGTCCCTAATCATCAGAGAAATGCAAATTAAAACCACAATGAGATATCCTCTCACACCTGTCAGAACGGCTATCATCAATAAATCAAAAAACAAGTGTTGGTGAGGATGTGGAGAAAAGGGAACCCTCTCACATTGTTGGTGGGATTGCAAATTGGTATAGCCACTATGGAAAACAGTATGGAGGTTTCTCAAAAAATTAGAAATAGATATACCTTTTGACTCAGCAATGACACTTCTGGGTATTTAGCCAAAGAAAACCAAAACAATAATTCATAAAGACCTATGCACCCCAATATTCATGGCAGCACAATTTATAATAGCCAAGATATAGAAGCAACCGAAATGCTCATCTACAGACAATTGGATAAAGAAATTATGGTTCATATATACAATGGAATATTACTCAGCCATTTAAAAAAATGAAATCCTACTATTTGCAACGACAGGGATGGACCTAGAGATTCTTATGCTGAGTGAAATAAGTCAGACAGAAAGATAAATACTATATGACTTCACTTATATGCAGAATCTAAGGAACGAAAAGAACAAACTAATCAAAAACAGACTCACAAATATAGTGGACAATTTGGTGACAGACAGAGGGAAGGGGGTTTGGGAGGCTGGGAGAATGAGGGGAAGGGTTAAAGAAGTACAAATTAGTATTTGATAGTTGGTCACAGGGAGGGGGAGCACGGCATAAGGAATGCAGTTAGCATTAATACGTTGGCTAGATGGAGGGCCAGGGGAGTTGGTACATACACAAACACATACACTCCAGAAGAAAGAATAAGAAACCATGAAAAGAAAGCGTTTTTTAAAACATGAAAGTCAGGGGAAAAAAAACAGGAGTTGAATGCATATATGAGATGACTCTACCATACAATTTTAACTAAGAGATTATTAGGGGCTCTTCATAACTATGTAAATGTCGAACAAATATTTATAGCCTTTCAATGTGAGGAGAGCAAATTATTCCCCTGTCCATTCACTGTCGTATTCTCAATGTCTAAAAAAGTGCCCGGCACGTTGTAGGCACTCAGTAAACACCTGTGCAATAAATGAATAAAGGGGTGTCTACATGCTTGTTTTCCTTGGACCAGTGGCATTGTCATCACCCGAGAGCTTTTGAGAAATGCAGGAGCCAGCTCTCCACTCCAGACCTACTGAATCAGTATCTTCATTTTAACAAGATCCCCAGGTGATTCACGTATACATTAAAGTTTGAAAAGCGCTGAACCACATGCCTCAATCCAGCTCTAAATTCGAGAGAACAAGGTAGGCAATTCTTTCCCCAGAGCTCACAGTTTAGTCTGAGAGTGTTCCTAGCAGATGGAAAAGCATGGCAAAAGCCGAGAAGTGAGAAAATTACGTATTTTCTTGTCTGACCCCTTTTCACCACTGTGTGTGATCTACATTAAAATGAGCTTTAGGAAGAGTGAATCAGCACGAACAGGGGCACAGTGTTTCCTAAGTGGTGATGAGATGACAGGGTGGCAGTGCCACATGACTGTCTTCACGATGGTGAGAAGGGTTGGTGTCACAGGTTAACACTCCATAATGTCCTGTTGTTGCTGGCAGGTGGCAGTCCAAACCAGGGCTACATTTCTGAGGTTCCCTTGCATACAAATGTGCCCATGTGACTAGGTCTCACCAAAGAAATGTAATCAGAAGAGATTTCATTTCAAGGCATAGACTTTTAAGGAGTGGCTGGGTGTTAGGACCTCCTGACTCTCTGTTTTCCTGTTGACAGATAGAAGCTGGGACTTCATGGCCCAGGGCAGAGCAGAGTCATGTGAGAGGAGCCTGGGTGGGGCAAAGCTGCCTCCTCACTGGGAACAAGAAATAAACTTTCTTTTGAAATTTGGGATTTGTTAAAGCTCTTAAAGTTACCTCAACTAGAAGAATGAACTTTAGTTTTTTTGGTATTTTTCACCAGCTGATACAGCCCTCTCCTTTCTCCCAGGCTGTCTCTCTGAGTGTTCCCATCATCTGTCTGCTGATCATTGAAGCATTTGGAGATGTACCTCCAAATAACCTGCCCCCAAGAGCAACTCTGCTCAAAGCGACATCTAAAAGTAAGCGAAGTAAATGTTATTTTGGCAGTGAGAGGTCTATCCCCCTAAAGGGCAATATCATTTGAGGTGTACGCTATTATCCTCCTTTTACAGAAAAAGATCCAAGTTCAGCAACACATCCGAGTTATCACAGCTAATAAGGAGACATGTGGGACCTGGTTAGCCAATAAACATTTGAAAACCTCATCAGCAATTAGGGAAATGAAAATTAAAATCCCAAGGTGCACTTTTATACATTCCAAAATAGCAAAAAAGTGAGCGGTTACAGAAGGAAAGGGTGGGGGAGGTAGATAAGGGTAAAGGAGGTCAAATGTATGGTGAGGGAAGGAGACTTGATTTTGGGTGGTGAACACACAATGCAATATGTATGACATATTACTGAATTGAACACTTGAAACCTATTTAATTTTATTAACCAATGTCACCCCAATAAACTTAATACAATATAAATAAATTAAATTAAATTAAATTAAAAGACAAAATAGCAAAAATTAAGAGACAATCTGAACGTTAGCAATGGCTGTGCATAAACTGGACTGACCACTTTGACAATATGACAGCAAATTAAAAATTTGACCATGCATATACAGTAAGATCCAGCAGTTCTGTGGGTAGGCATATGATCTAGAGAAATTCTTGCACTTTTACATTATGAAATATGTACCAGAAAAGCTTATAGCAGCACTGTTTGTCACAGCAAAGAAGTGAAGTCAACACAAATGTCTATCGACAATAGAAATAGATGAATAAAATAGGGCACAGTTGTACAATAGAAACCAAACAGCAAAAGTAATGAACTATAGGTCTACACATCCGCATGAATACGTCCCTAAAACATAAGGTCGAGTGAAATAGGGAAGTAACAGAAGGATGCACACAGTAGCATTCTATTTGTAAAATCTTAAAACTGGCAAAACTAAACAATTATAACATTTAGAAATGCATTCACAGATGGTAAAACTATGTAAAATAGAGCAAAGAGTGATTGACACAAAATTTAGGATTGTGTTTTCCTCTTTGTAGGGGGGAAAGGGGTGAAATTAGGAAGAGCACGCAGGAGCCTTCTTAGATC